CAGCAGGAGTGGGCACAAAGCAGAGGAAAAAAGATGTCGGGTAGCAATAAAAGCAGAAGTTGGGAAAGCAAAATATATGCAGAACACAAGTATTTAATTTTCCAACTTGTGTGGTTTGCTCTGTGGTGGGTTTGAGTCCTGCGGGGTTTGTCTTGTTTGTTTGGTTTTAGCCTTGTGCAGTCCCTTTGTGTCTGCTCGTTCTCCACGTTAAGAACTGGGGATACAATTATCATGACTGGGAAGAGTGGTGAAATTACACCTTGCTGAAGTAATTCTTCTGAGATTTACTCTGCTTATTCTTTTTGTCTGTGATATAATTACACTCAGTAACAGGGGCATTCAGCTTGAAGCTATGTTTACAGAACCTCTTCTGTTCTGTGTAATTTTAAATTTGGTTAAGTGGCTAATACTAGGAGTCAGTAATTGTTATGACATTGTTTAACTTATTTTCAGTTACTTTTGCCTCCTGACTACTTAAATGCAAATCCTTGTTAATGAGCCTGATGTTTTTAAAATCAGGTAACTTAATGTTTTAAAATTTAATCTAAAAGTTATGTACCTATTGTGACAGAGATCAGCAACGCTAGTAAAGAACGTTTAATATCTCTTTCCAAAGATGTATCTTACCCACTTTCATAATTTCTGGTCTTAAAAATCCATCTGCTCGTTCAACCTCAAGAGGGTACTGGAGTTCCTTTTGAGAACAAATCCTTCTAACATCTCCCATTTGACAAACTGAGAAAAGTAGGTAGTCATCTTTTCATAAGAAAATTGAACAATGAGATCCTGGGGGGAAAAAAGTTAAAGGCATGGCAGACTCTTTTGTTTTGCATGAGTTGCTGGCTTGTTCAGTTTCAGCACAGCATTTCATAGTTCCTCCCTACTTCATTTGCAAATACACTGGAACACAGTGTCATTCCTAGGGGAAGCCATTGTGTCTGGCTGCTTCAATGCCCAAAGTCAAGACGGTCCCAACAGTTGTGTGTCACGTTAGCCTGAGAGAGATGTTGCCATTGGATCCATTTGATCTATTCCAATTAGTTTGAAGCAGCTTTGGGGTATAAACCTCACAGCTCAGCAGGATGGGTGTAAAGTGACTACAGCATATCTTCTTTACTTTAGATTAACACTTTAAAATATTCTTTTGTTTTTATTAGCTGAAGAATAGAGGAATGGCAAACTTCTGTTTTGATTATAACCCTATAAATGAAAATCAAGTTACTGGACACAGGATCATACTGTACCCATGTCATGGCATGGGACAAAATCAGGTAAGATTCATGTTTTATTTTTGTTTTGACTAACGCTACAGGTATAGTGTAAAAAGTACAGTAAAAAGCATTGCAGTAGGGCTTAGAGAACATGTTGCCACAGTGAGATGATCTTACATCTAATTTTGATTCTCGCACTGGATGCTTTTAATTTTGATGTCTCTTGAGGTCAGACTTAGGGTAAAAGGCAAAAGCAAAAGAGAAGTATAAGCCACAGGAAAATAGTTCTTATGAGATGACATTTTTAAAGTTAATCTTTTGTTTAGCTAGCACTAAAAGATTAACTGAATTTACTGCAAAGATCTCGAATCACTGGATATTAATGCTCTGATGTCTCTGCCGATGGTGCGATGCATCCGCATACCTGTGACAGCAGGCACCAAACTGAGAGCAGCGATGCTCTCGAATCTGTGGAATTACTGCTCCCTGTGCTGGCATCCAGGCAGCAGGAGGAAGGAGAAATGGAGAAACTACCTGACTGCAATATAAACCAATAAAAAAAAATACGAGATGACACAAGAGAATTGCAGAGCCTGAGGAGGGAAGGCCAAACACAGGAAAGGGGTGTAACAATATTAGTGGAAGGGGCACAGTGCAGGGGAGGGCTGACAGGAGCCATGGAAAGAGGCCTAAGGTGGCAGAGGTCAGAAGAAGTTTGGGACAGAGGTAGGGCAGCAGGTGAGGAGTAGGGCATGTGTGACAGAGGAAGGAGTAGTTAGGAGCTACAGGGAGAGAGTGTGAAACAAGCGGAATCACTGGAGACCTGTTTAGCAGCCGGGGGACTGAATATGGGAGCAGTGATACCAGCTGGCAAATGGGGGTACGAGTAGAGGTGACAGGTAGTAGTCGCAAGAGAAAAAAAGTGGACAGCAGGAAGTGCTGTGGGTGTGGGAACACAGAGAGGCTAAAATAAGACAAGAGGTAGAAGCACAAGTGGGGTGGCAAATAGAAGTCAGGGTTGCTGAACTTCACCTCCTTTATCTGGCTCACAAATAGCCATGAAACCTACCAGCAGGACATTTCTCTCCGTTTCCTTCCCATCCCACGGCCCTTTCTACAGTAGTTCTTAAAAGGTAACAGCTGCTTCTGGTGGTGTGAATTTCTGAGCTCAGTTGGCAGGTGACAGTGGCAGGACCAAAACAGTCGGATCTCCCACATGTACATCCACTGCTGTCAGCTGGTGGAACTCATGGTGACAAGGTGGGTCATCCTCTAGTTGTATTGACGCTAAGAAGAGCAAGGCACTTCACCACAGAGTTTCACGGATGTTTGCTGACAACAGACAGTCCTTAACTTCTGTTTTGTTCTTGGAAGGGAATCTGCCATCCTAATCCCAAGCTCTTCTGCCTGCTCTCCTCTGGTCTGCTGTCATCACTCCGCTCATTACTCTATATAGGGCTTTAGCAGCAAACCCTCATTACAAAGCTTCGCTTCAGTCGCCTGCCCTGCACTACATGTCACAGACAGCTCTGGTTTCTCCACTCCATGCTATTTAACGCTTTCTTTTCCATACTGGCTGGCTCCCAGTCTTTCTCTGAGGCCCTTGCTCTGTCTCTTCCAGCACTTACTCTTCCCACCTGTTACTATTCACACTAGGTCATGTTTTGCTCCTTTTCACATGCCTCTCCTCTTTCCTGGCTAGCTTAAATTTTTGATCCTCAAGTCTGCTCCTTCTCATCCATTCCTCCAGTTGCAGAGTTTGTTCCACCATTCATCACGTTCTTCCTCAAATAGTACTCGCTGCTGCATATTCACACTGTCTCATGGTATAAAGGAATGAAGTTTATTCTCCAGAGTACAGCTCAGTAAAGTTATTCTCCAAAACCATCTTAATAGGATTTAACATTAATGAAGGTTAGCTTGGTCAGCCATATGTGTCTTACACTCCAGTACACCCATCCTCTGGCATGATATGCTAGCAGCAGGTGGCTGTTTATGTAGGGGACAACTGCAAAAGCGCTTTTCACTGGAAGCAATTCTCCACTTAAAGTAACCTCTGAATATCTGTGTGTGCTGTGCCGAGAGGGAAGAGCTCTGTGCTCTCGATTATTTATGAAGTCCAGCACCTGCTCCCATTTTATGTCTCAGTAAGTAAAACCACACTCAGAAAACTGAGATCCCTGGTAATTTGTTGCTATTTTTCCTTGAATCAATGGCCTAAGTGAGAGGATTCCCTTTAGTCCTTTTGAATTGCTTTCATGTAAGCAGTAAGAAAGCTAACTGTGGGTTGTTTAAAATTAGCATGCTCGTGAAAATAAAACTGCGGTGATAGGAGCTGATTGTATATATAAGAGAGGTAGAAAATATGCAAAACACTAGGTACTTGGTGCTTGCATCTCAGGCTGCTGATATTTTGTGGAAGCCTCTGTCCCAGTAGACGAGAATGAGAGGCTTTGAAATTCAACACCAATAAAGCCCATTGCCTTCCTTGGTATGTCTGGGAAGCAGTACAGAGAGCACCAACGCCTGATGGCAGGAAGCCAACCTGATGTGGTAAGAGGATGGGAAACCACTGAGCAGCCTGCTTTGACAGCACCCTCCCAGTATTCCCATTTGCAGCTGATAGATTTGAGGCAAATAGGGAGAGGCAAACGTATAGCTTAGCAAAGCCCTTGGGTTTTCTGTGAAAGAGGTATCAGACCTGGTAACCTTGCTGTTGGCTCTGTCCATCAGGTGCAAATTTCTTCCTGCACGCAGAAGAGCAGTACCTAAGCATAGAGAGAGATGAGAATGTGGTTCAGGGTCTGGTGAGGTAGCCAAAATCTGCCTCCATCCCTTGTACCACAGAGCTCTGATGTAGCTGGGCACATCCCATCGATTGCCCAGAAGTGGCAGGCACTAGGTAAAAAGCCTCATCAAGTTTCTCAATAGCACTTAAGGGAATCTACTGGCTCTCTGAAGGAAAGAAATGCAGTAAGGCCACTAGTTACTGGGCCATGGATCAGTTTGAAAATGCTTCCTTTTTGCTCATAGAACCCTCTGGGCAAGGAAAGAGCACTAAAAGACACTTCACCTTTTGAGGAGGAAGGGATTTATCTCGTGTCTTATCAGAGCTTGAAAAAGCCTGAAGCCTGAAGTATTTATTCAGTTTAAAGCAGTATAGGGTAAAGAACTGTATAACGTTTGTTGGGCAAGGAGGCAAGAGTGCTTGGTTGCTAATACTATAACTCAAATCCTTAATGTTATCCAGAAATTAACCATTTTACTTGCTCTTCTCCTCCAAAATCTGATGTAAGTCCTTGACAGGCTGTTCAGGAAAGACGTCAGTAATAAGGAGTGCTCTGACCTAGTAGCTGCTGCATCTACTCCTGATGCATCTGGTACAACCAGCAGCTTGCGGGCTTTCACTGATAATGAATACAAATTGCTAAAAAGAGTTATTATATCTTATAAACCCACTAATGAGCAAGGCTCTAAATGTGGCCTTGTAAAAGTGGCAGCTGTAAAAAAGCGTCCATCCAGACACAAATGAGCACAAGTGAAGCTTTTTTCTTTATTCATCAGTCATAGGCTTAAGATGAGTGCCCTCACAGCTCTCTGTGGTGCCTGAAGTAGCAGGCTTTCCATGTGTCGATCAGATACTCAATCCGGGAACTAAAGCCTGAAGGTGGGGGCATAGTCCCTGCCTCTTAGGGTAAAAAAAAAAAGAAAATGATCCAATATTATCACGTTTGACTCTTGTTGATGATGAGACGTTTGTGGCATAAAGCAGATGTTGTAAAGACAGCGCAGGCTACATCACAGGAACAGGTCCTAGCAACAGGTTTCAAGGGGAAATCAGAGTCTCCTGGGTGTTATGTCAGCAGGTTGACTTCAAACTTGAGGTTGCTTTCTCGAAGCGCTCACTTACTTTTGCAACATCATAAATGAATGATGGCAAACCGGTTAATTCCGGGGGGGTCACTTGCATCTCTGCCCAAAGAGAAGCCATGGAGCTCATCAAGGTGATGCGGTGGACAGCATTGGTCTGTACAGCTGCGAAAGCCACCTTGGTGGAGAAATTCCTGATTGTGATCAAAGGAGGGGAAGAGGAGATTTCATGAAACAACTACCATCAGCATAGTCTAGATCGGAGCTCTTACAGCTGGAAATGGATGACTGCAGACTTTGTAATCACATGGTCCTGTTTACATTAAAACTCCACTTCTAGTTTTTCTTTCAAGGTTAATTAGCCTCAGTGGTTGTTAAGGATGGTTTTGTGGTAAGTTCAAGTATATACAACATTCGTGAATTGATACAGCCCCCTTCACAAAGCCTTACAGTCTTTCTCCAGGGGTGAAACAAAACAAAGGAGGATTCCTTCTCTCCCTCATCCTTTTATTGCTTTCCGCTAATGCAGCTATACTATTAGTAACAAGCAATTTTCTGATGTGTATAAAACTCTCCTCTACCCTACTTAGTATAATCTGAATCAGATCTAAACACACATCCGTGCACTATAGTCATCTAAATTATTTACAAGCATGCTAAATACAAACAGCTCTTAAACTCTGCCGCTCTTTAATGAAGTCCAAAATTTGGCAAGTGTCCATGATAAATATAAAAATTCTAAGGAAGTCTTCAGCCATAATTGCTACAAAAGCCAAAACGTTTTAGAGCGTGTTCAGAACACCTCTGTAGAATGTTGTACAAGCAAAGCCAGTAAATTGTCTTTATTAAAGTTCTGTTCATGTTTAAAAGCAGTTGTAGCTGATTTGCTCCAAATAGTATCTGAATATGTTATATAGTAAAATGCTTGTCACCGTGAATCCCGAGTACTTTGTAACTGGAAATAAACATTGACCAAACTTCATTTGAACTATACAGTGAGCAACTCCTTAATTAAAAGTAACATTGTTTTATGACAACTGAATTAAGAAAGCATAATGTCAGACTGTGAACTGGTTTCCATCCTGTTTTTAAGGATGATCTAGAAAGTGAAAGTAGAATATTACAGTTGAGTTGTGTAAGTTCTTTAATGCTGGAATGTCTGTTTTCCAGGGCATTTATTCAGCATTTCATGTTTTAAGTGGTACCAGAGTAAAGCAGTGCTGTGGTGAGATTGATTTTCTGTAAAGTAGTAAGCAAGCGGCAGAAGTTAAGACTCTTTGAATATTTTTGGCAGAATGTCTTTCCACAATAGCAACTTTATATACGAACTTAATTATAGTATCTGAGTATATCTTCCTTACAAATATTTTCTTGTGTACATATGAAATGACTGTTGTCCTTTGTTTCTTCTCTTGGATTTGTAGTTTTTTGAGTACACATCCCATAATGAAATACGTTACAACACCCGACAGCCAGAAGTCTGTGCAGCAGTTGATTCAGGGACCGACTACTTGACAATGTACTTGTGTCAAGAAAACGTCCACAGTATACCTGAAAACCAGAAGTTTGTTTTCAGAGAGGTAAGTGTGCCTGCTTGGTTTGAGGGTTGTTTTTTTTGGGAGTGAGTGGAAGGAGAATTGTTGATATTTTTTTGTCATTATTTTTTATCTTACTGCCTACACATCACACAGGCCACAACATCAGCATATATCTCTGGGATAAATATGCTATCTTGACTTTTAATATCTGAACATAGAACCAAGGTAGCAGCAGCGTGCAGGTGAAGAGTATGCCAGTCATAAAGCATAGGAAGGTGAGGGGAAGGAAAACGCCCTTCTTAACCTCAAAGGAGATGGGAAGGTCGGCAGAGGTCTCTCTTCACTCTGTCCACATTGAGCGCTTCCTGTGAGCTGCTCAATTCTCTCTCACATCTCACCTCTACTGTCCTCTCCTGAGAACTGAGTTGCCTCCATATGCCCCTTCCCCAGCCAGTCTCATGGCTGGCATACTTCTGCTCTCCCTTCGTTGACTTCTTTTATTTCCCAGTATTTATACCACCATATATCCATGATACTTCACATACCACTGTTCAACTATTCTCTGCTTTTGAGAAACTGCTTCTCCTCTGCAGACCATCTCTTGTGACCCTCCTCATGAGCACCAGAAGTGCTCCTGGAACTTTTCTGCAGTGTAACGTGCAGTTGTGTAATTTGATGCACCATCAAAAAATACCTTCTGCCCTACTCCTGCCCCGACATAGGACACTTCTTACTGGCTGTGGGGATTCAGCAAATCTGTACCTCTCTTCAACTTTAATGCCTACTCCTGAAGAAGAGAAATACTGAGAAGTATGGAGTATATTTAAGAAACATAACATATGATCTTTTAAAATCTTGCATTTAGTAGTTTTTAATCTCTGAAGGAGTTCCTGGATGCCTGAGAGAAAATAAATTGGATGAAAAATTATAGCCTTGGTGAGGTTCTGGAGTGTTATTATTTGGCTAAGGGAAAAGGTCACATAATATATCAAAATGGTGTATTTACATAATGTGTCTGCATAATGCATCTAAACTCTACAGGCTCCATGGTTGACAGATTTCATGCGTAGATACTACCACCAGTGATAGGTGACAGAGTAAATTCTAAAGAAAAATATCAAAACTACTGTCCATTCACTAAATGTAGTCTAGACTGAAGCTCACAGTGATATTACTGAGTAAAATAAAATATTTAAAAGGCTGGCTTTATAAATGACATTTCATTTTTAATGCTGACTTTTAACAAAATTTCTCAAGGTTGTATGCATTAATCCTGAAGATAACATATATTGAATGACCCTCAGTCACTTGAGGAAATAATTGAGAAAACATAGTTTTGGGATACATCTGTTTCCACTGCATTCCTTATCATTAACTTTTAGCATCTGAAACTTGAAGAATTATTTTAAATCTTCTTCTAAAGAGAAGGCTTTGGGGAGACCTAGGAGCCTGCCAGTACCTAAAAGGGGCCTACAAGAAAGCTGGAGAGGGGCTTTTTGCAAGGGTGTGTAGTGATAGGAAAACAGGTAATGGCTTTAAACTGAAAGAGGGGAGATTTAGGTTAGATCTAAGGAGGAAATTCTTCACTCTGAGGGTGCTGAGGCACTGAAACAGGTTGCCCAGAGAAGCTGTGGATGCCCCATCCCTGGAAGTGTTCAAGGCCAGGTTGCATAAGGCTTTGAGCAACCTGGTTGTCTCTGCCCATGGCAGGGAGCTTGGGACTAGATGATCTTTAAGGTCCCTTCCAACCCAAACCATTCTATGATTCTGTGATACTTTCTTGTGATCACTTTGTGCCTGTGTGTGATTTGAAAGTACTGCTCTGCTCCAATTCATCTTCTTCTATTGCATTAGATCGAAATCACGTGTCCCCACCTTTCAAGGCAAGTGATGGGTGAGGTGTCAGTACCACATTTGTCTTGCTTTGTGCGGAGAAGTGTCAAACAGTGGAAAAGCTGTCCTTATATATGCAGCATAATCAAAGATTTGAACAGCCTTCCCAGCAGCCTGGCAAGAATTAAGTTCTTGCAGGCACTGAGTCAAAAATGAGTGAGGCAGGTATTGATTAGTCCACTCAAAAATTTGAATTATCATGACGTAAGCAAGAAAGTCATTGAGCAGCTAAGTCTGTCAGCAAGCCCGTGAGCGAGCACACGCTGCTGGGCACCAGGGGCTGCAGCTCGAGGCGCAATTAGTGCGACACTCCTGACGATGGAAGGAGCAGACTTTCAAAGGAGTCAGGGTTATGCTCAGAAACAGGCTGTTGGCACTTTTCTTTTTGAAGCCGCCAGAGGCTTTGGAAATGGTTACGTGTGGGAGCGTCACCTGCACCAGAGGAATGGTCTTGGAGCAGAGCAGTTCTCCGCATGTGCCACGCCGACTTTTTGCAGCTCGCTACCCCAGTTGACAGCGCTCTGGGATTGGAGCGAACGACGTGAACTGGATATGAAATGTTCTTGGAGACTCCCATAAGAGGAGGGCGTGAGGCCTCAAAATGTGTTCTTTGGGGAACCTGACTGTGAAGGCCTGTCAGACCTTGCAGCTCCGAGGCAGCTGTGCTGCCGTCCAGCAAAGCAGGCTAACTCCACACACATCTGCAGGCAAGAGGCATGCTTAGATACTTTTGCCTTTTTCACTAAAACTGCACCCTGTGAAGAAAAGGGAAGGTTTTTTTTTCTAAAAATATATCCCACATCTACACTTAAATAACAACATTTACATTTTACTTACCAGACGTGCAATAAGTTGGTGAATTTGGGTAATACCTGTACTTGGCTTTGGTTTTCTCTGCCCATATTCGGGTGCAGTAACCAAGGCAATGGAAGTGAATGAAGTTAGCGCGTCCTTTACAGGCTAGATGTCAAGACACAAGTCACTCTAAAGCAACGTTAATGTAAGTTTAAAAGCAGGGTCTTCTGATAAAGTTTCAGAGATCCTGAAGTTAGTCATTTCAGCTTCACTGTGTGACCCCATGAGAAGAATAAGTGTGATATTTATGTTACTAATGTCTTCTGTTACTTTTAAAACACAGTGATATGTCTGTGATTTTTTAAGACCTGAAAAGCATATATTATTTCTGTCTTTTGCAGGATGGTACTTTGTTCCATGTACACACCCAGAAGTGTGTACAAGCTGAGTCAAACGCTTACAATGGTAACCCAGCACCATTATTACGACCGTGTACCGGCTCAGACTACCAAAAATGGTTCTTCAAAGAAAGAAGTTGATCCAGATGTCATCTAGGATGTGGCTGAATACGAAAATGTTCTTTTTCTAGTCAGCAGTTAGCCTTTTGAAAATCACATAAGTGATATATTTTTGTATGGAAAGAACTGTAATTAGTTTACATGCCTTGGATTTTATTTTTTTTTTTTCTGGAGCATTAAAAGGCATTAAGCATGGAGACCTACGTAATGTAAGTGCTGTGGTTATATCATGCCACAGAATCTGCTCCTCTTTTCTCTTTATTTGGCAGCTACATAACTGCTTCTGAAGTGTCTTAGGTTCTTTTCACGAGTGACAATATGTTTTTTTGATCTACTGTGTGAAAGTAAGGCAGTCAAAATAATTGCACTAATGTTATCTGCCAAAATGTTTATTTTTCTATTAAAACATTCTGCAGTTGGGACTTTTAACAGATAGTAGTTAATAATTCTTCTTGTCTCTTAAATACCAAGAAGGTGAATGTAGGCCAGGTTCTGCCCTAAGTGACTACCACAAACCTTTCACTGAGGACAGTGTGGATTTGCACATGAAGGCAGAGCAGATCTGCATATTTTTGCACAAATACCAATCTAGATGCATACAGATTGCACATGCTTGCCAATACTATATATTTAAATGCTGCGACAATTTTAGATGCTCATGGCACTTGACGAGTTTCTAATCATGCTTAAGTCTGGTTTGGGAGTAAAATGGGGATTTTCTCATCTTTCTTAAAGAACTAAGGCAACAATATTGAAAGGTGACGCTCTGGGAAAAGCTATTTAGATTCACATGGATCTAGCTATGCGGCTGTGTCTCAGACTGCAAAACTTTAACATTATGTGGATTTTCAACATGCATATAACTTGCAAGATCAGACCTAGCAATAATTCTTTTCACAAATTTCAAAATTACAGTTAGAGAAAATGAATCTAAGAAATTACATCTTTCATTAAAGTGTAAATGTTTAAATGGTTCATATAAAAATGCTTGTATAAACAAAAATGGTTTTGTAACTAATTGATATGATATGCAGCTGATATTAATACAAAAAGAATTGTCTTTGAGCTATAACTTGCATTTTCTCTGGGAACTCCTTTTCTGGTAAGTTGTTCATGTCGACACATGTACTTACTGAAAACATGGGGTTTAATCTGCACCAGTACAAGATGTCTTCTGCTGTGGTGTGTGGGATCTGCCTTACCCATTCAGACAAGTAGCATGTATAGCAGTGTATTTGGTCATTGACCATCATCATTACAACGTTGATGAAAAGGGTTTCAGCTCATTAGGAAAGTTTATTTCTGTATCAGCTGAAGGTATGCTTATTTGTAGAAGCATGACGATTTCAACATTTTTCCCCAAAAGTCTTGGCATCTGTTTCATTTAGTTTGGGATTTATACCATCATTTGCCTTTGTTCATGTTTTCTCTAAAAAATATGCAGATCTTTCTTTGAGTCCTCATAAGCTCGTGTCATTTTGATATATCTATATGATTCGGGTGGTGTTGGGTGAGGGTTTTCTTCCTGTGGGAGATGCATATGTAGGTTCTTCCAAGGTCTTGGTAAACCCATGTAGATGGAATGTTTTTGTGAGCACCTTTAAGGTTTTGTCTCTGTGGGCTGGACTGATGAAATTGATGTTAGAATTAATAAAATATTTTGTGATTCAGTAGAGTGGGAACTGTCTTTACAACTATGTTGTGTTTTTTTTTTAATATGGTCACTGGTTTTCTTTTAATCATTTTGCTGATCCCTTAGGCTCTGATCCCTGTAGCACTTGGGAGGAGACAGCTTTATTTTATGATCTCGCAGGTTCCCTTTGCTGAACTCAATAATGCTTCTGTTCACCTGCTAGCAGCCATGGTGTGCACTTTGTGGAGTCACAAAGGCTGCATGAGCAACCTGTGAGAGCTCCAGCAACACAGCAAGGTTTTTCTATCAATTTCTGCTTTACCCTCTTGACTGTTGATTGAATTACATTAGTAAGTTAATGAGAGCCCAGCTATTTAAAATTGTAGGCAAAACTCTCATTGATCTCCATGGTCAATGAGGTTTTCTTAGTTTTAGGACTTCAAAATTTCATCACCAGGTGATGATATGCAAGTGAAAATTAGTAATTGGAAATTGTTTTCCATACGTCTTACCACTCTGCATTTATTTAGAGGGAGTATTGATGTTTTGGGCTTCTAGTTACATGCAGCTGAGCTGTTTTCTCATATATTAGCAAACCTGCTAGCCTGGGTTGACTATTTGCTTGGCAAACACACTTATGTTGAGTTAAAAAGCAGTCGCCAGCTTGCTCCCCATATCCTGGCCTTTTAGTCCATCTACTTACCATTTTTCTCCTTGATAGCCTTTTCTTTCTCTCAGCTCACTGGAATTATATTGATATCTGGCTTCAGGTTTGGAGAGGGAAGGATTCCATCAAGCATCTGAGTCACAATGCACATCTTCAAACTTCCTTTGCAGGAGGTCAGGGCTACCTGCTGAGAAATGGACTGTGGACTGGGGGCTTCTCCTCAGCAGAGAAAGGGGCTGATTGTCTCACAGAAATGGAAAAATTGGAGGACTCTTGTTGCAAATTGATATTTCATCTGGTTCTGGCCTCCTAGGGCAAATCAAGAACCAGTCGGTCCCCCCCTTTCTTAGTATTCATCTTCCTTTTATTCTTAGAGCAGCATGTTTCTTTTCCCCTTTGCTACGAAACATGTGAAGCACCCATAAAACCAAAACTTGCAACTCAAGCTTATTGATAACCTTAGGTTAAAATAATGGGATATTAGCAATGCAAAGTGGGAAATCCAAGGTTCCTCCTTCTATTTTGTACCATCGTGCTGTTCAAAACAAAAAAGGACATTTTTTAAATATAGAGAAATCGATCAAACAAATTGTTCTACAGCGCACAGTATGCCATATAGTTCTAGGATAGAGATGAAGAAATCTGTCTTCCAAACGGATTTTATTCCTTCCCTATTGCCTAGCTGTGAATACAACCTCTCCCATGTTCACTGGCATTATGCTGGATCAGCATGATTGTGTCTTTTCTCAGGTTCCTTCTTTTCCCCATGTCTGATGTTCCTTGTATGTTCCTAGGTATAGGGCATATTTGGCACGATTAAGGCACAAAAGATTAAGCCAGGAGAAGTATTTCATGAAACTAAACCATGCAAAATGTTTTCCCCATTTTCCATATCCTGTGCTGAATATACCTCATGAGGGGAATAGTAATATGAAAGGAGTCTTTAATTTAAATTATCTGATGGTATTATCCCCAAAATGAGAATTTGGGATTGTAAGTACTAATTGAACATGTTGATTTTTTGGGAATTATAAAAAAAGTCATTAAAAAATGCTTATTTCTTAGTCTTTGTATTCCTTTATTAAAAAATAAATAAATAAAAATTTGCAATCCAGATTGCAGTCTGGTGCCTAATTCTTTATCATATTTCTTTCAACTCATCAGGTAACTATTTTGCTGTTTTTTTTTTTTTTCTTTTATTCTTCTACCATTCTCCTTTCATTTAAATATTGTGGGTCTTCAACATGGGCTAGAACTTACTGGATTTTCACTTCAACAGAAGACGGTATATGAACCTTTCGTCTAAGAAATAAACCACTAAAACCTCTGTATGTGCAGTCTTGACCGAACCATCGTGAAGGAGAATTGTTGGAGCTTGCACAAACTCTCAGAACAACAGTCACTGTTGTATATGCATCGGTCAACATGAATTAGAAGCAGTGTTTCTTGCCAGCTCTGCTGAAACAAAAACTCAAAACTGTGTTCAATTTTTGTTATAGGAAGTGGTAAGATTTACTGGAAGGGGAAATTCATGTTAGTTGGTAACACCGGGACTCATGGGTCTAGGCTCATATTCCCTATGTAGGAAAACATGGGCAGTTACACAGTGATACTGCTGGGCTGGCAATTCAAAATCTTTGATGTTCTTTTGATTTCATTTGGCTCCCTTAAAGCCCTTAGATAGGAAGATTAATTTGAAGTTGAGCTTTATTCTGATACCCTGGTGTAGAGATGTAGCAATCAAGATGTCTAGAGAGACTATAGGGTTAGGATCATGCAGTTGCGTATATACGGTTGCAACTGTTGGGTTTTTTAGCAGGATTTGAGAATGATGTATAGGCCTGTAACTGTCGTGGTGAGAAAACTTGTGGGTTGAGATAAGGACAGTTTAACAGGTAAAGCATAAGCTGTGCCCAAGCAAAGCAAAGCAAGGAAGCTGATCTAGGGGAAGATGTCCCTGCCCATGGCAAGAGGGTTGGAACTAGATGATCTTTAAGGTCTCTTCCAACCCAAACTGTTCTATGATTCTATGAATTCATTCACCACTTGCCATGGACAGGCAGGTGTTCAGCCATCTCCAGGAAAGCAGGGCTCCATCATACGTAACCGTGACTTGGGAAGACAAATGCCATCACTCTGAACGTCCCTCCCCTTCCTTCTTCTTCCCCTAGCTTTGTATGCTGAGCATGGCATCATAAAGTAGGGAATATCCCTTTGGTCAGTTGGGGTCAGCAGTCTCAAGTGTGTCCCCTCCCAAATTCTTGTGCACCCCAGCCTACTCGCTGGTGGGTTGGTGTGAGAAGCAGAAAAACCCTTGACTCTGTATAAACACTGCTCAGCAATAACAAAAACATCCCTGTATTAACATAACTGTTTCCAGCACAAATCCTAAACAGCCCCACACTAGCTTCTATGAAGAAAATTAACTCTATCCTAGCCAAAATCAGCATAGTAACAAAAGCAAAATTTTGACTGTGCTAGCAAGTTAGCTGAGGTAGGTGGGAAAGTCCAAGGGAGGGAAGGAAGAGAGGGATAGTGGGGATCTCTCCCAGTTCTGTTGAGGTGCGAGCAATTGACTGCAACAGCAATAGGTGGGTTTGAATTAGAGCATTGCAGCATTCTTCCACTTCTCATTTACAGAGGAAAACAATTATGTGTGTATATGCAGTACTGAAATTACTATGCCTAGATCAACAGTTTTCAATCTTTTTTTCAATCCAT